ACTTTAGCACGAAGCAATTTACACAAGTACTATGTTTTCACATTAACTTCACTTTTTTGATCGTTGCATTTGCCCTTCTTTGCAGCTTGCTCAAGTCTTTCGATGTCTCGAAGCAGAAACAACTGGAAAACGATCGGAATCTTTCCAATCTTGGCCCGACGAAAACGTCGACATCGGGACGTTTCGTATCTGTAAAACCCACGAAAACAACTACTGGTAACAGAGTTCGTTCCTCGAGTGCAGCGAGCGAAGACGGAACTGTCAGGTACGTTTGATCGCCTATGGTATTAGAGATGGACACCGATTTTTGTTTCAAAAAAAAAAAAAAGCTCCAGTGTCTTATAGTTAGTTGCCGGTGTGCGAATTTTTTTTAACGGAGTATGAATCCGTGTGACATGTTGATTAAAGACTCAGTTTGGACCGCAAATCTTTCGCAGTTTATATCATTTTTGTAAGCTAGTGCAAGTACAGTTAATTAACTTAAATTGTATAGTTGTTCAGTTGAATAACGCGGGAGTCGATTTCTGGAATGCAGAAACGCGTGCTAATTAAAAGCCAGCTTGAATTCACAGTAAGTGTAGTCTGCAGTGTATTGACGGTAAAATTATCAAACTAGCCAACAATGTTTATCTAGTAAAAGTTCCTTTTAAGATTCTGATAATAATATTCGTAAGGGATGTAATACGTGCTATGGCTCATTGGCTCTGCTCTTTTCAATGAGCATGAATTAATTTCCGTTAAGTTCTCTTAACAGGTCCATAAAGAAAAATACCCAATATTTTGGAAGAAATGTTAGCTAAGCGTGAAAGCGCATGGCAGAAGTAGTGCATGTACATCGCTCAGGCTTCGATTGAAAGCCAAATTTGATGCAGCTTTTCTTAAAACAGATTTTTCATTATCTTTCAATCGCTTATTAAAGTGCTTAACAATCGTGTGTAGCCATAACAAAATGTCATTGAGTTAAAGATGATTATCGAGTTTCTATAAATTTAGCAGGCATTTATTAGCAACATACGCGCATAGTCCTCGCATTTCCTGTTAGAATTTTTCCTTGCTTTTCAACTTAAAAGCAGCAAAAAATTTCAACCGAAAAAATAAAGGCCTATAACGAATCAGCCTTTATGGAAATATCTCAGAAGCCAATTGTATTGTCAGGTCGCTCAAATAATGATGTAGCCCGCTTTGGAAGTAAATGAAGTACTTCAATACAATGTTAAAAAAACACGTCGAAACAAAAGAGTGCTGTTTCAACGAAAGGCCGAACAAGAAGCAATTAACAACCAGTGCGAGAGAGTTTCCCAAGAAAGTACAAAACGCGACTTTTCTTTCAATATATTGATGTGTTATTGACCATTATTGACCAATATTGATCGTATTCGTTAAGTATCGTGTTTACAGCCAATTAACTCTGGTACAATATTTAAAGATTGTTAGATACTGTGGATGAATAAGTCAAGGACTTTGCTCTACGCTGTGCTGAATGAAAACCATTTTCCTGGCATTAAGATCTTTTGTAACAATTATAGAAAATCTAATGTCATGTTCTCTTCTCGCGGATTATGGTGTAATAAATTTTAGTTTACCAGCTACACACTGACGACGCAAACCTCGCCCCCCTCTCCCCACCACCTCAAAAAATAATCGTTAATCAATGTTACTGTGAACAGGGAACTTGACACAGAGAAAATATGTCCAACTAGTTTGTTCTAGTGTATGTGATTATCAGAGGGAATTCTCCATAGCAATGACATTCATTTTTTTCATTCTCTCCAGTTCGCGTCATACCGCCCCATCTCGTCAAACAGTTGGAGCTTCGAGTCGAGCGGCAAGAACCTCCCATAGAGAAGGTGAGAATTTTTGGTCACAAACTATGTATGTGTGTACTCTTCACATCTTTTAAGGCGTTTGTATTTGTCGGCAAAATTAACCGTTTCCGTGTACATTTTCTTCCAGATTCACGGCATGCGGTGGCTTCAAAGGCGTCAGGATCTCTTTTGTCTCCTATGGTTGCCCTTGGCCGCTCCATCAGTAACATTGATCATCGGTCAGCTGAACGAGCCAGCGCTCGCTCAAAGCTTAGATCAGCGGCTTCACGCGTGTCGCCTCAAAACCATCACGCGCAACTTCGGCAACCAAGGACCCAGCATCCCTCGCGGGGAACTGTATCGCAGCGTAAGTAAATCTTTAGCAAAGTGCTTTCCGTCGCGTCTTTTTCTTGTATGCTCTACGGCGATTCTACAGTTATATAGAAAAAAAAAAAGAGTGATGTCTTTTAATAGTTCTTTTTTATAATATCCCCAAAGTGAATGCCTTCTTTCCGAGGTGTGTCGGCACGCTTGTAAAGTCCATTGGACTTTGAAGAAGAGGACCCCTGTTTTACGCGCCAACTGGAAATGGCTAATTGACTTTCTGAAGGTGATATTACACGAGACGATTTGCAACGACGATTTTTGGCGCAACACGGGATTCAAATGTTGGAACAATGTTGCAGCCTTTCAAAACGATGTCGCAACGATGTTGTAACCCTGTGTTGCGCTAAAAATCGTCGTTACAAATCGTCCCGTGTTACTGATAACCTTAACACTTTTTCTCTTTCTGTTATTTCAGCTGGTAGTCGGTCCCAATCTCCCGATCGGCTTCTAGCAACATTCCCTCCCCGAGAGAGGTCTGAGGTCTACTGTCGAAGGGAAAGTCTTTCAGGGAGAACAAAAATACCAACACCAAGGTAAGTGATCAATTACCATCCACAGCAATCTCTCCTATACGTTCAGCAGATGCCCGGGATTTCTATGTTTTACGTCGCTAGATACTAGAGATATTTAGAACCACGTTAACGGTTGTCTCTATGAAACAACGACTGCTGCTCTTTCAGGTGTAATCACGTTATTTAGCCGTTGTTTCCTGTTCGATAAAATGGGCTGTTGTATATAGTTCCTCTCTCCAATGTTTATACTTTTGAAACATTACATTGGTGGGGCTTTCAATACGTTCTTTAGGAGTACCTGCTGACTACTTTACCCTATTAAGCTACATTATTGTACATCAGACTCACTAAGAAAAATCTGATTGGTCGAGAGCATTCAATCAATTCACGATAGCTTGTGAACTTGACATGATAAATGCAATATCTGCTGCAGATATTGCATTTATCATGTCAAGTTCAACGTCTGCCTGGTTACCAAGCCCCTTGGAGTGTTCTCCTCAGAAACGGAATGGCTGAATGTCTTCTTTTGTAAGTATAGCTGCTTGAGATTTATTGAACAGTCTCTTGCGCGCGCGTTCGCATGAGCTGCAATATTTCAAGTTCTTGTGGTCAGTAACGTTATGGAAAACAATGGGAAAGGGCAAAAGTTGTTACTAAATATCGCTGGCTTTTAATTCAGCAATTCATAATATGCGGTTTGCTTATGGCGTTATGTTTTACTGACGATCAACCATCTTGGATCTATTACTATAAGTAAACTGACTTAAGCGCGAAGCAATTTACACATGTACCATGTTTTCATATTAACTTCACTTTTTTGATCGCCGCATTTTCCCCTTCTTTGCAGCTTGCTCAAGTCTTTCGATGTCTCGAAGCAGAAACAACTGGAAAACGATCGGAACCTTTCCAATCTTGGCCCGACGAAAACGTCGACATCGGGACGTTTCGTATCTGTAAAACCCACGAAAACAACTACTGGTAACAGAGTTCGTTCCTCGAGTGCAGCGAGCGAAGACGGAACTGTCAGGTACGTTTGATCGCCTATGGTATTAGAGATGGACACCGATTTTTGTTTCAAAAAAAAAAAAAAGCTCCAGTGTCTTATAGTTAGTTGCCGGTGTGCGAATTTTTCTTAACGGAGTATGAATCCGCGTGACATGTTGATTAAAGACTCAGTTTGGACCGCAAATCTTTCGCAGTTTATATCATTTTTGTAAGCTAGTGCAAGTACAGTTAATTAACTTAAATTGTATAGTTGTTCAGTTGAATAACGCGGGAGTCGATTTCTGGAATGCAGAAACGCGTGCTAATTAAAAGCCAGCTTGAATTCACAGTAAGTGTAGTCTGCAGTGTATTGACGGTAAAATTATCAAACTAGCCAACAATGTTTATCTAGTAAAAGTTCCTTTTAAGATTCTGATAATAATATTCGTAAGGGATGTAATACGTGCTATGGCTCATTGGCTCTGCTCTTTTCAATGAGCATGAATTAATTTCCGTTAAGTTCTCTTAACAGGTCCATAAAGAAAAATACCCAATATTTTGGAAGAAATGTTAGCTAAGCGTGAAAGCGCATGGCAGAAGTAGTGCATGTACATCGCTCAGGCTTCGATTGAAAGCCAAATTTGATGCAGCTTTTCTTAAAACAGATTTTTCATTATCTTTCAATCGCTTATTAAAGTGCTTAACAATCGTGTGTAGCCATAACAAAATGTCATTGAGTTAAAGATGATTATCGAGTTTCTATAAATTTAGCAGGCATTTATTAGCAACATACGCGCATAGTCCTCGCATTTCCTGTTAGAATTTTTCCTTGCTTTTCAACTTAAAAGCAGCAAAAAATTTCAACCGAAAAAATAAAGGCCTATAACGAATCAGCCTTTATGGAAATATCTCAGAAGCCAATTGTATTGTCAGGTCGCTCAAATAATGATGTAGCCCGCTTTGGAAGTAAATGAAGTACTTCAATACAATGTTAAAAAAACACGTCGAAACAAAAGAGTGCTGTTTCAACGAAAGGCCGAACAAGAAGCAATTAACAACCAGTGCGAGAGAGTTTCCCAAGAAAGTACAAAACGCGACTTTTCTTTCAATATATTGATGTGTTATTGACCATTATTGACCAATATTGATCGTATTCGTTAAGTATCGTGTTTACAGCCAATTAACTCTGGTACAATATTTAAAGATTGTTAGATACTGTGGATGAATAAGTCAAGGACTTTGCTCTACGCTGTGCTGAATGAAAACCATTTTCCTGGCATTAAGATCTTTTGTAACAATTATAGAAAATCTAATGTCATGTTCTCTTCTCGCGGATTATGGTGTAATAAATTTTAGTTTACCAGCTACACACTGACGACGCAAACCTCGCCCCCCTCTCCCCACCACCTCAAAAAATAATCGTTAATCAATGTTACTGTGAACAGGGAACTTGACACAGAGAAAATATGTCCAACTAGTTTGTTCTAGTGTATGTGATTATCAGAGGGAATTCTCCATAGCAATGACATTCATTTTTTTCATTCTCTCCAGTTCGCGTCATACCGCCCCATCTCGTCAAACAGTTGGAGCTTCGAGTCGAGCGGCAAGAACCTCCCATAGAGAAGGTGAGAATTTTTGGTCACAAACTATGTATGTGTGTACTCTTCACATCTTTTAAGGCGTTTGTATTTGTCGGCAAAATTAACCGTTTCCGTGTACATTTTCTTCCAGATTCACGGCATGCGGTGGCTTCAAAGGCGTCAGGATCTCTTTTGTCTCCTATGGTTGCCCTTGGCCGCTCCATCAGTAACATTGATCATCGGTCAGCTGAACGAGCCAGCGCTCGCTCAAAGCTTAGATCAGCGGCTTCACGCGTGTCGCCTCAAAACCATCACGCGCAACTTCGGCAACCAAGGACCCAGCATCCCTCGCGGGGAACTGTATCGCAGCGTAAGTAAATCTTTAGCAAAGTGCTTTCCGTCGCGTCTTTTTCTTGTATGCTCTACGGCGATTCTACAGTTATATAGAAAAAAAAAAAGAGTGATGTCTTTTAATAGTTCTTTTTTATAATATCCCCAAAGTGAATGCCTTCTTTCCGAGGTGTGTCGGCACGCTTGTAAAGTCCATTGGACTTTGAAGAAGAGGACCCCTGTTTTACGCGCCAACTGGAAATGGCTAATTGACTTTCTGAAGGTGATATTACACGAGACGATTTGCAACGACGATTTTTGGCGCAACACGGGATTCAAATGTTGGAACAATGTTGCAGCCTTTCAAAACGATGTCGCAACGATGTTGTAACCCTGTGTTGCGCTAAAAATCGTCGTTACAAATCGTCCCGTGTTACTGATAACCTTAACACTTTTTCTCTTTCTGTTATTTCAGCTGGTAGTCGGTCCCAATCTCCCGATCGGCTTCTAGCAACATTCCCTCCCCGAGAGAGGTCTGAGGTCTACTGTCGAAGGGAAAGTCTTTCAGGGAGAACAAAAATACCAACACCAAGGTAAGTGATCAATTACCATCCACAGCAATCTCTCCTATACGTTCAGCAGATGCCCGGGATTTCTATGTTTTACGTCGCTAGATACTAGAGATATTTAGAACCACGTTAACGGTTGTCTCTATGAAACAACGACTGCTGCTCTTTCAGGTGTAATCACGTTATTTAGCCGTTGTTTCCTGTTCGATAAAATGGGCTGTTGTATATAGTTCCTCTCTCCAATGTTTATACTTTTGAAACATTACATTGGTGGGGCTTTCAATACGTTCTTTAGGAGTACCTGCTGACTACTTTACCCTATTAAGCTACATTATTGTACATCAGACTCACTAAGAAAAATCTGATTGGTCGAGAGCATTCAATCAATTCACGATAGCTTGTGAACTTGACATGATAAATGCAATATCTGCTGCAGATATTGCATTTATCATGTCAAGTTCAACGTCTGCCTGGTTACCAAGCCCCTTGGAGTGTTCTCCTCAGAAACGGAATGGCTGAATGTCTTCTTTTGCCTATTGTTTAAAAAATGTATAATAAAACAATTATTGAATTCGGTTTTCGCATGATATCATGAATTATCAAAACCTCATGTCTGTATTATCTGCCGAAGCCGAATAACACAGACCTCGGTTTTGAGAATTCATGATATCATGCTCAACCTCATCCAATAATTGTTTAATATCCACACACAAATTCTCCTGAATGATCGTTATACATTTCCTTAAAGAATTAATTGAGAGAATATGATTAAAGACCAAAGTATTCCGTTTGGTTAGCATTTAATTTTTGGATCAATTTAGGTCTCGGGGGAACTACCCACCTACCCTCCCCTAAACCAACATTATTACTTACTTCTCACTTAGGGCAAAATGTTAGGTTAGGGGAGGAGTGGGTGGGCAGTTTCCCAGAACCTAAATTGATCCTAATTTTTTTGTCATAACCTTTTCTCTTTATAACGTATTGATATTAGGAAAAAATTGATGTGGGTCACTCATGGGGTTAATTTTAGTTAACAAACGCGCTGTTGCATGGTAGATACCTATTTCTTCCTTCTTTTTAAAAGCCAAACATTTGAGAGAATGTCATGGAAATGCTTATAAATTTTTTTGTATGAAAATATGACCGGTTGTACCTACCTTAAATATTCCCCTGCAAATTCATAAGTTCCATTCGTCAACGTTAGCAAATTACATGTTACTAACAATTTTGTTGTATGTTGTGTTTGCAAGTCTACCTTTCTTAGAAACTCCCTTGCAAACTGTGTCTAATAACTGTCAGTGAACTGTTTATTGTACTGTTTGCTACGTCGTAGTAGTTTTTGTTAAATGCATTGTTGTTGTCGATTCTTTTCCAGTGTCTCTCGGCATCCCAGCGACGAGAATTTGGCCATGATCCCTGGGTGCCGGTCACCCCTACCCCCTCCCTCTAGTTCTCCTTCTTTCCTCCCTGTCCGTAAGCATCTGTGAGTAGTTTTGTCCTCTGTCTTATTTGACGCATTTAAACGTTACCCAGTCATTCGTCAACTCGTTCTTTCGCCAATCATTTTTCTTCAAGCTCGGGTTTAATTTGTGCCTTGAGCTCAGCCTGTCTTCATTTTACTTGCTACTTTACGTTTATTGACTCAAGTTTAATTAATGATTCTTTTCCAGTACCTCTCTGCTTTTAAGCCATGAGTCTCTTGTTGGGTCTGGGCGCCAGCCGTCCTCACCCACACCTTCTCTGTCTTCATCTTCTTCATCTTTTCTACCTGTTCCTAAGCCTTTGTAAGTTGTACTTTTCATTCTTTTTAATTTTTTTAACAACTTCTTTTTACTTCTATTCGAGTAAGTTCCATCGACTGTCTTAAAATTAGCCAGCCTCTGAACTTAGTCTGCCACAAACCAATCAGAACAAAGTAATCAGTGAACCAATCGCAGCTAAGAATGAATTCGTGACAGGCGCGCGATTTAAAGGGCGGGAAACTTGTATCCCGTGACTTCTTGCGCGGGAAAAAAATTATACTAATGTCATGTCGTGACGTGTGTGGTCATGATTGGTTATCTCTGGGATTACTCATAGTACTTTTCACGCGTTGCGCTGGCTTTTTAGGCCAATCACAGAGTTTCACGGAGCTTAACAGAAAACAGAACCACATTCACGTCAGTGAACTGTGAAACGCTCTGTTTTCAGTTGTTTTCTTCTTAAAAAGACTTTTATCTCCATCCTTCTTGCTGTTTTTGCCCCAGTTAACTTTTTCAGTTGGTTCTTTTTGATACGGTTTGACTCTTTTCACAAGTTGACATTTTGTTTAGTTACTTACTTATTTGTTTTAAAAAAGCTTGTGTTTCATTTTTCCGCTAGCGTTCTGTTGATCTGTGTTTTCTTGCATCAGAATATCGCAAATGACATCTTTATCTTTTTCTTTAATTTTGTGTTGTCATTTCTTCTTTTCTTTTCTTGTTTTTTCTTCTCCGTTGTGTAGTAGAGGGTGCGAGAGTATTCTCATCGATACGCCTAGTTTTTTCAAACAGTCTTAGCATATGGACGAGCATGAGAATTACTTTTCTTCACTTTACTGAATTTTTATTTTTTTGTTCTCTATATTTGTACTTTGTCATACTTTAGGCCACAGCAGGTATTTTTTGTAGCTGGGGTCGGTGCGCGAACAAAAATATTGGAAGATGAGATGAGACTGGTGGTGATAAGCCAGGGTCACCTCGGCCTCATCCTTTCAATTTCCTCGCCTTCAAATCCCGTCCGCGTTGCAAATTTCTGCGCATCGTTTCTTCTCCTCTAGAGGCTTGAAGCTTTATCTTCGCTTTTATTTTTTCTTTGAGACTTTATCTTATAATTTCTGTCTGTCTTCAGCATTCACTTTTCGTACGTTGCATTCTGGCGATATTCTTTCTCAGGGTTCTCCTTATCAGTCGGCGGTAAATATGTCCATTTATAACATCATCTGCAGTGAAAGCATTTAAAACCACCTGTTATTGAAAATACGTGCACTGTGAGTCACCTTACGCACTATAGTTACCCGCTTGCATACAAAAGCACGTTTTGGAACGCTCTGAAACAAGAAAAAGCACGCTGATAAGTTACAGAGAACCTTGTCTCTTGTCATAATAATGTACAATCCCTTTCCTGTAATATCTTTGAACAACTGATACTTTTGCTCTAACTATCTTCTGTTGCAGCATTTCTCGACATCTTAGCTTCGAGTATCTACCTAGGGGTCCTCCTGGTTTTTCTATCTCTTATATTCCTGTTCCTCAGTGAGTAAACTGCTTATTCTCTGCATGATTCCTGTGGCTAACCTTAATCACCATTTCACTGCTAAATTATACCCCCAGTGGGTTGACTAAGTAACTATTTTCACTTCCGAATACAATCGTTTGATCCCGTGCTGCCACTCTCTTCTAATTTTTTGAGGGGTCGTAACTACCAAATTTAACAGATATTGTAAGAAAATTTTACCCATGTACCATTTGAGAATAACTTACTCGTTCGTTCATTTATTCATACGTTGATTTCCAAAGATTAGGATATCTCAACGTTTTCTTAGCAATTCTGAAGTTATTTTCCTGTTTTTCCTGACAGTCGAATGCGAACTGCCTCTCAATCGAGCTCACGGGCTAGTTCGCGTGCGAGCTCCCGCGGGGCGAGTCGAGACACGAGTCCTGATAGGAGAGATAGACGATTGAGTGTAGAGAGAGGATACAGTCCGAGTCATTTGCCAGTGTTAAAGAAAGCCAGCCCATTGCACAGTAAGTATATCATTTTGAAGGGAGTTACTGTTATGTTGACTTGGCCATAATAAACAGCTCGCCAAATGATTAATAAACTATGAGTACAGTGAAACCAGTTACAGGGACTAAGGGCCTGTTTGCATGGAGATGGGGTACCCCAGACAGGTGAGGTAACCCGCTGAGGTGAGCAACCCGCCTGTCTATATAATCTCTCATTTTAATGTGATCACGTTTACATGTTAGGTGGGGTAACCCGCAACTTCTTACCTCCCCTACCTGGGGTCCCCCACCTTCGTGTAAACAGGCCCTATGTCATGGGGATACTACTGTTTTCGGGCAATTCTGTGCCTAAGGTGGCACGTACCAATTTTCTCGCGTGTGGAGTCCATCGCGCGCGCGTATCCCACTCCACTTTTGTACGTGCGAGATACAGAAAACAAATATGGCGGTGCGCGGCTATTTTTGTTTAAGTTTTAATACTTTTGTGCTTAACCCATGTATTTTTGGAATAGACCTCTTTAGCTGTATGTTTTGTTTTCCCAATTCTGACCACGTGATATTCTCTAGGGAATTTGCCTTTTCTCTTTTCATTATCATGTATACAGCTATTTCGAGAGAGGTTGTCGGAAAAAGTGCACGCGACAATCCCGATAGGTATTGTGGGTGGTTTTCTGTTCTTCAAAGAAATTTGAAAGAATAGCACGAGAGGCCATAGACAGAAGTTTGCGAGTGCTAAGGGAAAGCAGCAAAAGTAGGTTCGACAGCTACAGTCGTCAGGAACAGTGTATTGATCAAACTGGCCATATTACCATTCGGGGTTGTCGCGTGCACATTTCTTTATCCGACAACCCTTCTTGAAATAGCTGTACATATGCAAGAAACGGTTCTCTGTGGTACCATCACGCGGTCTGTAATGGGAAAACAAAACATACAAGCTAAGAAGGTCTTTTCAATGGGATGCGCCCTTACACGGACAACAAAGGGACATACCATGCTGTCCTTATTAAGCGGGTGTTCGTAGAGCGCGGTTTCGCTGTTATTTACCTTTTTTTTTTCAACTTAGATCCGCCATTAAAGCAATCAAGCCAAGGCGAGCCTGCGGGTAAAGGCGTCACTGAAGCTGCGGTTTGGGACGCGTGGGTAAGAAGATTTTAAAGTTTGTTTTTTTACTGATTTGTTCTTCGTTTTTCTCTAGACAAATTTAATAAGTGAGGTGAGAGCGTGAATCGTATGTTTGGTTGGCTTAAATTTCCGCACTGTCATGTAAGGTTACCGAAGGCGTAGAACTCTCTAGATAGAATCACTGATTGATTAACAGTCATGTGGACTTTCTGCAGACGTTTTAAAAAAAGAGTTTATCTGATGTCTGCATCAGTTAATTGTCACCGACCTACGCTTGATTGGCTGCATGCAGTCGGTTCAATCAAGGAAGTTAGAACGTAAGGTCGGTAAAATTGGCAACTCTGAAAAACGTGCAACTTGTTTTGCAACATTGCTGAAAAACGAGTTGAATAGCCATGTTGCGCGTTTTACCAATCACGAAAGAAAAAAACTCGCAACCTGATTTCTTGCAAGACAGGTTCGAACATGGGTGGTAAAACGCGCAAAAGCGCTATTCAACTCGTTTTGCAGCAATGTGGTAAGACAGGTTTTACGTTTCTGTTGCCCGTTTTACTGTAGCTTTAAAATTTGAAGTTGAATAGGGATAAACTCTTTTTTAAAAGTCTTTTCGGATCATTATGCGTTTCTGGGAAACTGCCCATCTACCCCTCC